AATGTATTTTTATCATATTTTATATTTCTTCTTTCAAATTGCACTAACATGTCCACTTCAATATACAAAATTATATAGAAAATCTAGTCATAAGGAATTATTACATGATTACTCCACCAGTCACTAAAACAGCACACACACTCAGAAATGGAATATTATTTGCAGATAATTAATTCCTTATCAAAAATTTTTTTTAGACCAATGAGGTGAAATAAGATGATTTTCCAAGGCACACTAGTGGTTGAAAAACACTGGAATAATGGATGGATGGATGTCAGTTATTATCAGAATCAGAATCAGAATAAGGTTTATTGCCAAGTAGGTTTTTAGACTTACAAGGAATTTGCATTGGTGTTATAAAGTTAGCTGGACATTGTCCACCATATTTGAACACTTCCTGATGTTTAAAGTATTTGGGCGTCCCACTAAGAGTTGTTTCCCCCCCCCCCAGTTGGTGGCGGGGCGGGGCTAAGGCCCTACTGGCAGAAGTACATGTCCAGGGCGCTGCTGCTGGTTTTCGTGGTGGATTCCTCCGACCCGAAGGTGTTTCCGGTTGCTAAGCAACACCTGATGGAGCTGCTTAGCAACAGGCCACGCCTCCCCCTCATGGTGCTGGCCAACAAGCAGGTGAGACCACAAACATCCCCCAAGGACATATCCAACCCCCCACATACAGTCGGCCATTTTGATTAGGTCACCAATAGGACCTAACCCTAACCCAGGCAAGAAAATGGTAATTGCTTCATGGCAATATAGACATTAATTTAAAAATAGAGAAATGAATCTTGCAAACACTGAATTAAACTCTATCCATAATATTATGTTAAAATAGTGGATGTTAAATCGGACGATACCCCCCCCTTCTCTCTGATTTATTTATTGACGTTGTTTATGACATTAGCCTTGAATGCTAGCTGCGGCTAATGGCTAATAATAACATGCTACCATTAATCAAGAACATATCCAACTCCCCACATCCAATCGGCCATTTTGATTAGGTCACCAATAGGAAGATCCTAGGCAAGAAAATACTAATTGCTTCATGGCAATATAGACATTAATTTAAAAATAGTTAAATGAATTTTTCAAACACTGAATTAAACTCTATCCATAATATTATGTTAAAATAGTGGATGTTAAATAGGTTTGTACAATAAGTCCAAACAAGTTTAACCCAAAAATATTTATTTCTCACTATTATGAAGGTTTAGGGTCAGGGTTAGGGTTAGGGTTAGGACATCATATAGGATCAGGGTTAGGACATCGTTAAGGGTTAGGATTAGGGTTAGGATCAGGGTTAGAGTCAGAGTCAGGGTTAGGGTTAGAACATTGTTTATCTTCTGATTTCTTACAGACAGTAAAGTTTCTTTTCCACCTCAGAAAGCTGCTAGTCACATGACCTAATCAAAACGGCCAACTGGTACATGGGCTGACCTGGACCTCCTGCTCTAACCCTAACCCTCTAACCCTGACCCTAACCCTAACCCCGGGTCTGTTCGAGGACCTGCTCTAACCCTGTCTCTGTTCCAGGACCTGCTCTAACCCTAACCCTAGCCCTAACCCTAGCCC